AACTTCTTTTTAGGTATTTCTTTTTTAAGGCAACACTTTCTCCCTTTAGAGACGTTTTATCTGATTTTTCTCTTCTTATGATAATCTAATACTCAAAACAGTTAAATATTCCTTTTCATAGTGGAGACTATGGAGAAGCAGACAGGGAAGGGAGATCACCTGAAGGAAAACACTGATTTGGAGTAGATAAAACTTGTCTGACAGGGTCCCTCCAGCAAACCACAGCTCTTTCTTAGGTTCTTGTTGAAGAAACTAGTTGAGTGGCTGTGATCACATCTCTAGAGGCAAAGACCCTTTAGATTATAAAAGAATAGCATTAATTAGCATTATTTTTTCCTTTATTTTTTTCTTTTTCTCCCCCCTTCCTTTTTTTGTAATGATAAAAGATTTTTTTTTTCTCTTCTCATCACAGGAATATATTTGCATACTGCTTTTTGTTCTTATGTAAATCCTTATTGCTTTTGTATATTCTACATATTGGAGAGGGTTGGAGATTGGCCGTTTTCCTCAAAAGGGAAAATGAAGCACCTGGATCACAGTTAATGTACAAAAAAGTTTCAATTATAATTGGAAAGACTATTTTCTTTTTTTCATCTTTATTTTTAAATAATTAAGTATATTGTCTCTCAATTGATTAGCCAGAGAGCCCAGATTAGCTTAATTGTGTACAGTATGTCATCCAGGTCTGGCAGCCTCCAAATCTTTTTGTTGATTGAATAGGAGAAAGGAAGAGTGAGTGAAAGTCTACAAAAGCTTGTGTTAGTTAAGACATATCCCCTACTGGTAGAAAATCATGTTCAGACATTATTGCATCATTAGTCAGCCCATCACGATATCACTTTACAAAAAATCCTCTGGTTCTTTTCAGTGGTTTTAATGAATTTGTTCTAAGAAGCCCTGTGAAAGGACTGAGCTACAGAATTTGGATAACTGCGCCATTTTCTTAAACAGTTAGAGCCTGCTGAGAAAGTAGATACTCTGATTTGACATTTCACTGCAAGAGAAGTAGCATTATACAATTTTTGTCACTTAATGGAAATATCAAATTATTTTGGTCTTTCCCCCAGAATCAGATAAAGACTGGTATGCTAGTTAAATAATTGATAGACAGAAATATGGGAGACTAAAGAAGGATGAATCTAAGAACTATAAATAATTTTTTCATTTACTTGGATTTTTCTAAGGATAATTTTTATCATTTATCTAAATTCTTTTAAAGAAAAAATAAACAATCAATATACCTTTATGGGATAAAGTTAATTGTTCATGTTTAG